CCCGTTTTAAGTCAGTGAGTCCTGCTTCGAATCAGGAGGCCTTATCTCGTGTGAGGGAGGGTGCTGGCTCGCGAGGTCACCTTAGTGGATCAGAAGGCTGCTTTTCCGTGTAAGGAAACGGCCTCCGAAAATCAGGAGGTCCTTGTTAAGAATCAGGAGGTCCCTTTATCACGTAACATCCTGTTCCAGAAGGCTCCTGTTAACGATCAGAAGGCTCTGGTTGGGATAAAGAAGCCCTTCACTGGATTGGATGGCCCCTACTTCACATCTGGGGTTGTGGTCACTCCACTTCCGTTAAGACATGTAGCCGTGATAGATCATCTTTGAGCCGCGCTCACTTGCGCAGGCTTTACCCATTTCTCAAATTCCCTGAGTAAATGAAATGACCGCGTGGCGTATACTCGAACTGGGAGCACTCAGGCTTGTGTCCCGAAATAGTGGCTATTGGACTGACCTACGCCGTATTTTTTGTGATAAATTAGTTTAAGTTTGTCATGTAGGCAAGGAGCAGCCATGCTGTGCTTTTCGTTTCATGTTTATCTACTTTTGCGTGATGTACGGCGGACGCACTAGAGCCAGGGTCTGAGCCAGCCTAGGCTCATTCCTCTTCCAGAGACGAGGCCGGGGATGAGCATACACGTGGAGCATCCGGGTCGCTACTTGGAAAGAAACGTCGCCCCTAAATTGTCTATTTACAGTCAATGAAACACCACGTAACTGATTTCAAAGAACCTTCGTTCTTGGTGATCCAAATTATGAGCTGTTTTACAGCAGATAGCTCACCGGACGGTATTTATTTTAAAAAAATCACGACTCAACCTATGTACCAAAAGTCTGCATTGGAATGTAAGCCTTAAGAACGTGCGTAGATATACTTGGTCTAAGATGGTTCATATTGGTGCTCGCACCGCCCTCCGTGGCCTCCAGGAATGGGGTCTCATTTGCCTCCCCAGACCGCCAAATCACTGAAAGAAAGGTAAGCTTCAGTTTCTTCAAACTGGGGAAACTCGCCAGATACAGTTTAAAGGAGTATGAATAGGTTGCTATGGGGCTTATTTGCCCTCCTTTCGTCCAAACTCAAAATGCCCTTCGAAAGGTCACACCCAGGAGCCGCCACCTCCTCCCATCTGTGAGCAGACTCCGTTTACTTAGAAGGTCCCTGAAAGGTTCTTTGTCGGTTTTTCAGTCAGTGTCCGAAATGTCGGGAATAGGCGCCATTTGACTAGGTGTATGCTGGGGAAAACCGCTGTCAACAATGGCTAACGTCCAGTGGTCGTTTTGTATTTGAACTGTTCCATTCTGGGAGTAAGATCCGTGAAAGAATATTCATTAGAAAATACGACCCTCTTAACGACTATCACGTATGTAATTATTGTAGGGAGGTCATCATAATTCCTTTTTAGTGCTTGCCATGCCTTGCATTACACAAGCACTGTACTGTCCTAACACGCGCACGGGTGGCCGGCTATATACCCTTCGCTCAGGTGTGGGTCAGTTTGACCCCCTGAGATTTGAGAAACTAAGAGAGCTAGAGACACTAAATTCATAGGGTGTGTAGGTCTGTACGTGAACTAACTTGGATAAGAAGGTCATGGTGATTAAAATCATGCAAGACTGCTTTGAGTTTCGCATTTGAATAAGCCACAAGGATTACGCTTGACACCATGTTCCTAAAACAAAATGTTGACATGGGTTGTTTTAGGTCAGTAACCTGCATAGAAGCAATTAGCAATTAGCAATTAGCAAGCAATTAAGCAATCCATAGAAGATATATATTGTGGCTCCTGTTATTAATATATTCAAAGTGAGCACAAGAAGCTGCCCCATACCGCAAGCCCTAAAGAAAAAAACGAGTTGGTTTGACCTTGGTCTGACTTTCACACCCAACCCTAGGTTAATGGAATTTGTTCACTAATTGTTGCACTGTCTGAGAAAGTATCTCAGAAATATGTGGCTTCGTCTAACATTCCGTTGTGGTGTCAGATTGAACGCTTCCCTAGAAATCGTCTTCGCTGAATCCATGGCCTGACTGTGACCTGTTGTAGGTCAGCGACCTGATAGGGCACATCTGAAATGTTGATTTCAAACGATGCGCTATTCAACTGTCTACAGATTTGCAAAACTTGGCTCAGCTACGCCGTGCCGTTCGGAAACCGTTCCGGATAGCCTTCGGGCGGTCAAATTGACCCCTGCCTGAGAGTGCGTTGATATAAAATACAGTAACAAATGATAGGCAGTCTTTTTATGACCATGACGTTCTGAGCTGGAAGGCGCCTAAAACAGAGAGTTAAAAGGCATCATGTGACGGACAATATTTACGCGTCAATGCAGCTAACACCGCATGGAAGCCCTTCCATTCCAAACCCTGCACCTCTCTGCATTCCGCACATTCACGAGGCTGTCTATTGGTTGCGCTCCACTGACTAAACGGTGTTTGGACTTTATCCTCCCCCTTAGCCCCTACCCTCCGGGACGAGCAATTGATCAGGGGTCCTTGCGGTATTGTGAAACATTGGAAGCGCACGGCTTTGTCCAGAGAATGAATGTGCTGATTGGCACGCTGGGGTGCTTTTGTGTATCTGACTTGATTTCTTTTGATTTTTGCGTTTTGGCCTCGTTCCATTCGACTCCTGTCGTTTTGACTTACATTTTTCACTGTGTCGCTGTTGAATACTTTATCCATTTAAGTTTCATCACTTTTTGAATCGTATTCCGTTTGACTTACTGCCATTCGAGAGTGTCCCGTGGTTTGTCGCCTTTCGACGAGCTGCCGAGGAACCCGTGTGGGCCTCTGGCTCGGACAACGTCTGACGGAGTTAAGCCAAAGTGGAATAATCAAACATATTGCTTGCCATCAAAACCAACGATGGCTATCATGACGGTGTTTCAGCTTGCTTGCGCTGCTAGATATTGTCATTGACTGAAGCTTCAGAACCAGCCAAATCCAACTCGCTCAGCTATGTCTGATCCCTTTCACACTCCTTAAACCTGTCTCTATCCCACATCTACCTAACCCCTCTCCCAAATTCCAAAAGAACTCTGATGTAGTAGCCGAGGCAATCTCAATTTAGTGATATAAGAACTTCAAGTGTAGCAGGCGTGATCCAATGTGTTCGTGATCCAATCCCTATGCAAGGCGTCATGCCACTCCAATTCGCTTTGATTTGATTCTTAGTTCAAATCAAACCAGTCCCAAAACGTTGGTCCTCAAACCTTCTGAAAAAGGTCAGTCCAGCCATGTGTTTATGTATAAGACATTGAGGTATTCAATCTGTGAAATGAATCCGTGATTCCGCTATAATATTCCCTGCGGTCAGAGGCTTGCCACAAATCGTAATGTCATTTATAACATGCAATGCGATGGCAACCCGAATATCACTGAAAACTTCAGACAATAATGGACCGGAATACCTCTGGAAACGTCAGGCAGTGACGGACCGGAATATCACTGGAAACTTCAGGCAATAACGGACGAGAGTAGGCCGACTGGTCATCGTTTTAGGTCCAAGCTTCCACTTAGTGGGATTTGTATTTCTATAAACGTCTATTGGGTTAACTACAACGCCGAACGTGGTAACCGCTTCCGTCCCAGAGCCGTGCCGGGCCGGGTTGTGTCGTGCCGAACGTGGTGACCGCTTCCGTCCCAGAGCCACGCCGTGCCGTGCCGTGCCGTGCCGTTCCAAAGTCGTGCCGTGTCGCGTCGTGCCGTGCCATGCCGTGCCGTGCCGTGCCGTGCCGTGCCGTGCCGTGCCGTGCCGTGCCGTGCCGTGCCGTGCCGTGCCGTGCCGTGCCGTGCCGTGCCGTGCTTTACAGCCCGAGCGACCTCTCTCGCCATATTTTTATCTCGATGCCCAGTCGCGCATCAGTGTGCTGTGAAACTCCATGAACGTTGACCAGGCTGGGGTCGGCCAGCGCCGGTTTTTTCCGCAGGTCGTGCCGGCCTGCGGCAGCCACGCGCCACGGCAGACGGCGAAAGGCCGGAGCTGTGTAACAGCCCGGCTGTTCCATTTATGTTCCCGAAAATTGTCCTTGGCAGGCACGGGCTGCCTTCGACATCCCTTTCTGACCCGTACTGGCGAGTCTAAAGAGTAACAAACATCTGGAGGCTCTGCGTCCATAATGGAAGTGTAGCGCAAACAAAGTCGCCATTTTATCACCCCCTCCAGCACGGCGGCGCGGCGCCAATGCTGTCTGACGGCAGCACGTCAGCGACGGAGGGCCGGCACTCCCTCCTCTGCAGTGACCTGGCGCCAGCGCCTCGCTGCCGCGAGAGTTCAGAGCCACCCAGGCCAGATTGTCGCATGCAGCCGTGCAGGGCCAACTGAAGCGGACAAGTTTTCCCATTAGGGGCCGGGCGGCGGGCGGCCGGCTCGCGCCACCGACTATTAGTTCGCCTGTGCACGGCAGTGACGTCACGCGAGCGTCTCCGCACCGACGAGATGTCCCGCCGTCTCTGGCTGACGGCGGAGACGCCGGAGCCTGCAGCTGTCCCCAGTCTGAAGATACCGCGGCTGACGGCGGAGACGCCGGGGCCTGCAGCTGTCCCCAGTCTGGAGATACTGCGGCTGACGGAGGGGACGGAGCCTGCAGCTGTTCTCAGTCTGGAAATACTGCGGCTGACGGCAGAGGCGCCAAAGGCTGCAGCTGTCCCCAGACTGGAGTTACTGCGGCTGACGGTGGTTATGTATGGCCCTGCAGCAGACCTCAGGCTGGATCCTGCGCCTGGCCGTGATGTCGTCCCTAGGCTGGATCCCACGCATCACCGCGAGGCCTTCCCCAGGCTGGATCCCGCGCATCACCGCGAGGGCTTCCCCGGGCTGGGGCCCATACATCACCGCAAGGCCTTCCCCAGGCTGGATCCCACTCATCACCGCAGAGCCTTCCTCAGGCTGGGTCCCGCGCCTGACGGCGAGGCATTCCCCAGGCTGGATCCCGCGCCTGACCGTGCGGCCGTCCTCAGGCTAGATCCCGCTCCTGATCGTGCGTGCGGCCGCCCCCAGGCTGGATACCACAACTGGCAGAGCGGCTACACCTGTCCGTGGACAACGTCACGTCCGAGATGTCCTACATCACGGCCCTTTACTTCACCTGCACCAGCCTCACCAGCGTGGGCTTCGGAAACGTGTCCGCCAACACCAACAGCGAGAAAATCTTCAGCGTGGTCGTAATGCTGGTTGGAGGTGAGCTCGGAGCCGGTATTTGTAGATGGCTTTTCACCTGGATTCAATTCCCACGTGGAATGTTAGATCTAATCGAAGGCTTTCTCGAAATCGGGTGGGAATAAATTGCCTTGGCTTTTCTATCCTTTGCAATCCTCGGGGATAAACCTCGAAATACATCCCATAAATTTGAAACCAATGCATAGGAATGCTGCAGGTGTAGGTCATTTAGGAATTCGCAAAAAGGTTCGAAATTTGGGCATCCAGAATGTCATGATTACTGATAGTCTTTATAGGTCATGTACATGTGTAAAATTAGTCCATAGTCCCCATACTCTCTTCTCTGAAAGCCGGGATTCGTCCCACGCACATCATCCTTCATTGCGTTTTTAACATCACATGATGCCAGAACCCAGCAGAATTTCACCTGGAGGGAATGAGCTAACTAAATGTATTGATGCAAGTTAAGGTCCTTTTTAGACCTGGTTGTTCTTCACATGTCAGTGTTTTGTGTGGACTTTTTAACCTACACACTGCTTTGGGAGGAAGTGGTACATAGTACAATACTCCCCCCCCCTTCGCCTCTATTTTTGCGTATCAAGTTAGTCAGATACAAGTCAGGGCTTGCTCACCATTTTGCGTATCACGTTAGCCAGGTGCAGGTCAAGACTTGCTCACCATTTCGACAGTTGTCTGTCGATTGCTTCCGGCTCAAATCAGGCTACGACGCTCCATTAATCCAAGCACGGATAGCGTGACTGTCCAGTGGGGCCGTCATGCGGGTGGAGACAGTCACCGGTGCTCCTGGTCTGGACAGAGAGGCCCGGGCCACCCATCACCGTCATGATGCACGTTCGGGAGGGGCGTTTCATAAGCCGAATTCCAATTTACTGTCCAAGTTGAGTTATGTACATGACGGAACGGTCTACTGAAGCAAACCACAGACGTGTTCGACGATAATGCCAAGGCTTTAATGGAAGTTGGTGGCGCTCGACTATGCCGCATGTTATCTCCAGGCTCACCTTTTACCGTGCAATGTGCTGCCATGCTGGTCCAAGAATGGCATGGTCTACCGTTAAGAAACGACCTACGAAACGGCGATATTTTGGGAAACAGTTGCTCCGTCTATGCTCTTTATAACCGAGAAATATAGGGAAATGTAAGGCAGCCGGCATCCACGTCTCTTGATTTCTCAGCAGACCTTTGTCATCAATATATAGGTGTGATCTTCAACTGCTTTGATGCAAAAAGCCGACGTAACAGAAGATAAGGAGGCTCATAGACCAACAAGGTTTCTTCCCTACTAGCGACGAAAGTGAAATGTGCTAATATGTGAACTATCTTCTGACGATTCTTTTGCACTTTTACTACAGTCATGTTTTACGCAGGAATAAAAACACAACATTTACGTTGGACGTGATATCAAACATTCTTCGTATTCTCGGAACACATATTCCATGACAGTCACTCTTCGTGTGAGGTGTGCACGATCGCATTTTGTTACCATAGCAACAACGAAGGGCCGGAACGTTGACCGCGGCCTCATTCATGCTTTGTCCGCCCTGCACGGAGTCAGCTGGACGCGGAACGTGTTTTGCTGCGTGCAGTGGGCGTGGGATCCTTTTGGTCGCCTGACCGCGTTTGACCGCCAGCCATTAATGCCTGGGCTGCTACAGCTCGTCGCCATTGCTGGCCTCGTGATTGCAGCTTGCCGGTCAAGATCTGGTCGCATCAGTCCAATTCGTGTTCACGGTTCGTAAATGAGGCGTTTCGAAGCACCACTTAAGTCACGAATCTGCTTAACAAACCAAGCTGCCATCTGATTATGCCGGTTCAGATCCCAAACTGAGCCGCCCCGCCACTCGAGCTCCTTTGGGTATGTGATACGCGTTAGAGCCCGGCCGCGCGGCCCCGTCCCCGAACTCCGCTCGATGTGTGCCGCGCGGTGGGGCCGGCTGCGCAGCTGCGTCCCTCGAACCCCGTTTGGTGTGTGACGCGCGGTGGAGCCCGACCGCGCGGCCCCGTCCTCAAGCTCCGTTGGATGTGTGACGCGCGGTGAGGTCGGCCGCGCAGCCCCGTCCCTCGAGCTCCGTTGGATGTGTGACGCGCGGTGAGGTCGGCCGCGCGGCCCCGTCCCTCGAGCTCCGTTGGATGTGTGACGCGCGGTGATGTCGGCCGCGCGGCCCCGTCCCTCGAGCTCCGTTGGATTGCGACGCGCGGTGAAGTTGGCCGCGCGGCGTGGCTCCCAGGGGCGTCGCTCCCCCGCCGCCAGGTGTGCCGCTGACGGCTGGCCACCCGTGCCGCGCCGCGCCACCAACCGATCGATGGGAGCGGGACTTCCTCCAAACTCGCGGCTGGCTCCGGTCTCTGCCTCACTGACCTCGGCCGGCGGCCGTCGCCGAGTCGCCTCGCAGTATTGCCTCGCCCGCACCCCTCCGGCTTAAAACAGCGGCACCAGTCCCGCTTTTTGTGGAGGAGCTTTCGAACTTTCCACTCAGCGTTGCCGCCTGGTACACGTGGGGAATGCGCGCCACTAACTTCTTGCGACGGTGGGGACACATTCCGGCTGACGAGTGCAGCTCTTCATATCATGGAAGCACTCAAAAATACTCGTGAAGCCATTCACATGATACAGCTGTACATGCCAGCGAAGATCCCGCGTTACACATGATACCATTACGGCATACCGGTGTTTCGTGCTATGTGTTCTCTCTGTCGTAAACGTGCCTACGTCTTTCAGTGACCTGTGTGCACCTTCACGTGCGGAAAGGATTTTCATCATCTTAAGTGCACAGGAAAAGTTTCAAACCACTGCCATCAAAACGATCATGCGATTTGTGTCACAAGAACTACAACAGTTGAACTCGATGCTAATTTATTCTCTCATTGGTCTGGCGCAGAAAACATTAGGATCCCGAATTGGTACATTATCGGAAATAAATCTAGATATTTTCCATTCTTTGTTACTTTTTCGTGCATCCTTTAGAGAGTCTCATGGATAGCGTTTTATTATCGGCCCAAGTAATTGCACCTTGTGCGTGTTAGGCACTCTTGAATAGTATCACCAGGCGATTTGGTTCCATCCATTTTAAAGCGAAATGAGCTCTGCAGCTAAATTCCTTGCACTAATTTGAGAAATCGGGCGTCATCTGCACGCTCGTTTCATAAGCTGAAACGTTGAAAGACATCCACAGTGATTAAGATTTGACGAGGCTTACGTCAGACGCAAAGTTTGCCGACAGAGAATGATTGCTCACGCGTGTGGGTGCCCCAATCTCAACTCGATTCTAGCGTCCGACTCTTCTCAACAATGATGGGAGAGGACGAATGATGTACAGTGGTGGGAGAGGACGAATGATGTACAATGATGGGAGAGGACGAATGATGTACAATGATGGGAGAGGACGAATGATGTACAGTGGTGGGAGAGGACGAATGATGTACAATGGTGGGAGAGGACGAATGATGTACAATGATGGGAGAGGACGAATGATGCACACGACATTCGTCAGCCCAATGCCCACCAGAGGCGCTTCTGTACTTCCCCGACATAGGAACAAAACCTGTCGGCGGGCGGCCATAGGCCCCACGGCATGTTTAAGATCCAGCCGGCTTGGCCCGGACTCGCAGGCACATGTGCTGTGAGCCGCGCTCACGGTCCCCTGATGTTCCAGCCCTGATGCACGCTGCAGTGTTCGGAAACGTCACGGCCATAGTTCAAAGGATGTATGCAAAGCGCTCCTTGTATGATTCCAAGTGGAACGATCTGAAAGACTTTCTCACACTGTATCAGGTACGTATGAGTGCAGTTGAATGTGAGAGACCCCGCGGGTCTTCATGAGAGTGTTTCGTTTTGCTTTCTCACCCTATAAATATGACGTTTTATCTCACCTGACCATTAATATCGTTATGCTAGCATTGCCATACGACATAAATTGAAGCTTTAGACAATGAGCGCAGCATCTGTATCAAATGAAAGAATGAAGCATGGCGTGCCTTAAAAAGCACGAACCTAAATTCGCGCCCACGATGCATTGTCATTTTCAGGTACCCAAGGAACTAAAGCAAAGAATACAGGACTACTTTCAAACAATGTGGTCTCTAAATCATGGAATAGAAATGGGTGAGGTAAGTACAGCCTGCCATTGCACCTTATATTGCTATGATGCCGCTTTTTCCCCTGTGCGCGTTCGCGCGTAGTGTGAACGGAGTCGTTGTCTGACACGTTCCCCGCACCACTCGGATCGCCCCTCTGCAGAAGCTGTGCGATTCTACGGCGAACCATACCTCCCTCACCCTTATATGTCGGCCCTCTTAGCCAGAGAATATGTATTGCATTAGCACTTAATTAGTAACTTGTTAATATATGCATATATGTATATATATATATATATATATATATATATATATATATATATGTATATATATATATATATATACATATATGTCTGTGTGTGTGTGTGTAGGTATGTAAAACAGCACTGTTGGCCTTATTCCTTGTAGAACAATCAGGAGAGGCGATAGATGGATGTATTAATATTTCGGCTACATGCCTTTATTGGAAAAAATCAAGATACATATATAAACATATCTTATATATATATATATATATATATATTCGTATACATGTTATATTTGTATCCGTTTCGATCAAGGCATGTAGCCGAAATACCAGTGCATATAGCTCTCCTTTCTTCTTGTTATCCCAAGAAAAATAAGGCTTATTCTACCGTCTCAGCACTTAGCTTGTGTTTTTTCAACACCAGTCTTGCCTCGTACTAATCTGCTTCTGCCGTCCGTCTCTAACTTGTCACGTTCGTCTACATAACTGGTATTACTTGCCCATACAATCTTGCTACTCATTCTCAGAATCGGCATTGTCCGCTGTTAGAAGAATCGGCACTGTCCGCTGTTGGACGCGAGCTTGCTCTGTTCGTGGATCGTTGTTTTTTTCCAGTGGCACAAGGAATGTGATTCGATTACCGTTGACTCTCCGTATTCTCTGAGAATGCGTTCGTATCCGGCGAGCATGCTTTCAGAACAACGAAAGTTATTTCGGGTTGGTACGAAAGGACGGGAAAATACTGCTATGTGTCACATAGAGTTCCACGACTATTGGAGTTCGTTACTACACAGTCGATGCCCCTTTAGCCTGCAAAACCAGCCATAAGAAAGTCTTCCTTCAAAAGTCACCGAAGCATTTATCTGTAAACTGTTCGTGACTGCTCACTTTGTTGAAATCCCTCAAACACGGATGGCTTTCCGGCAAGTGTTTGGCTGGCGGCCCTCGAACGCCACGACATAACATGGCAGATATAGCCACGGCCGGCTGATCCAGCGGGCTGCCGAGCGCTATGTGGTCTGGCCTATCCTATGGGATTGCCGTGCGCTATGTGGTCTGGCCTATCCTTTGGGGTTGCCGTGCGCTATGTAGTCTGGCCTATCCTATGGGGTTGCCGTGCGTTATGTGGCCTTGCCCGCCCGATGGGGTTGCCGTGCACTATGTAGTCTGGCCTATCCTATGGAGCTGCCGAGCGCTATGTGGTCTGGCCTATCCTATGGGGTTGCCTGGCGCTATGTGGTCTGACCTAACCTATGGGGTTGCCTGGCGCCCTGTAGGCTGGCTGGCGCTCGGTGAGGCCGGTGCGAGGGCGGGGGCGTGATGGCCGAGTGGTTAGGGCCTTCGGCTTTCACGGGAGGGGGTCCGGGTTAGAGCCCCGCTTGCGCCATGGTCTCTGTAGTCATTGGTGCTATTTGAACTCTTTTGTCGTGATAATACTTTCTAGTAAAGAACTGATGGTGTTGTATGGTTTGGAACACTTTTAAGGCAAATCAATTGGGGAGGTGTTTATCGTAATACACCGACACTACAGTTATTCAGTGGGTAGATGTGTCTTGTCATACACCCCTACTAGTTCTCCTAGTTTTTCAGTTAATTATGAACGTCATGTCTTAATTTGAACCCTTGCTGATAGACCAAAAAATAATTTGCGTAAATTGACAACATACCCATACATATATTTTTGCGGCGTCGTGTCTGTTCACACGACAGACTTTTGTCCCTCAGGTTTTCTTGGTTCTCTTGGTTTTGTCCACATTTCAGGATATTGAAGAAAGCATGAAATATGATGCAATAACTCACTTATAACTATTAGTCTACCTTTAAGTGGAAAAGACCGCTCTAGATAACACAATTTCTCTTTTAAGTGAGTATGCTCCTCAATACATAATTGGTTATGTCATCGTACCACCCTGCACAACACTGATCGAGAGCCATTTGGAGCCGTTGTATCTGAAAAGTGCACTCACAAACGCCAGATATGAACGAGATGACAGCTAGATTGTTCTTGGCCTTGACCACCGCATGGCCAGCGGAATGGCAGGTCATTGAATTGTTACAATTGAAATTGAATTGAATTGAATTGTTACAATACAATTGAATTGGAATTGTTACAGCGTCACGGGTGCCTGAGTGACCTTGAAATAGTCTGCACATCTTCGCGGGTGTGTACACATCATCACATCTGCACATCTGCACACATCATCTGCACAAAAAAGAAAAAGCCTGCACATCTTCGCGGGTGTGTACCTCAGGAACTAGAGGGGGTCTAGGTCTGGACCAGGGCAGGGCTGTGAACTGCACCGAATGGTCTTCAGTGTTATGATATCAGTTCAAAACCCCATACAAATGCAAATGTTAATTTTCCCGATGAGGTTCCGAAAGCGTTCCGCGGGTCACACCGTATTATAACTTGTTCTGCGAGCCAAATTATTTTGTTGCCGGTGACTTAGATCCGAGTGGCGTGGCGACTTGTTGACGAACAGAGGCTGCGAGCTGCCGCGAGTTCAGCGTCTTTGCGTGTTTTCCGGTTCAGGATAACAGTACGGATTTTAGGCAGCGCTTCTGGGCTGTTGGCGCTCTGACTGAAAGAGTTTCCTCAGATATTGCCGACACAGCGGAGCAGTTTACGGCTCTCAGGAGACGCCTGGCAAGTCTGGCGATGGGAACATGTCATCAGGTGGCCGGCCGCTAAGTGAAGTGAGCACTTCCACAGCCGCTCGGCCCCGGACCTCCAGCGGCACCCGCCGGCGGGGCGGACCTCTGTGCGGACCCTCCCGCGCTGCGCAACTGCCTCGCTAGTCCGCCTCGCTGCCGGGACGCGGCAGCTGGAGTCGTCGGGACGCGGCAGCTGGAGGCGTCGGGACACGGCAGCTGGAAGCGTCGGGACGCCGAAGCTGGAGTCATCGGGAGACGGCAGCTGGAGGCATCGGGACGCGGCAGCTGGAAGCGTCGGGACGGACGCGTCAGCTGGAGGCGTCGGGACACGGCAGCTGGAGGCGTCGGGACACGGCGGCTGGAGGCGTTGGGACGCGGCAGCTGGATGCGTCGGGACGCGGCGGCTGGAGGCGTCGGGACACGACAGCTGGAGGCGTTGGGACGCGGCAGCTGGATGCGTCGGGACGCGGCGGCTGGAGGCGTCGGGACACGACAGCTGGAAGCGTCGGGACGCGGCAGCTGGAGGCGTCGGCGCCGTGACGCGGCAACTGGAGACGTCGGGACTCGGCAGCTGGAGGCGTCGAGACGCGGCACCTGGAGGCGTCGGGACGTGACAGCTGGAGGCGTCGGGACGCGGCAGCTGGAGGCGTCGGGATGCGGAAGCTGGAGGCGTCGGGACGAGCGCATAGTTTAAGGCGCCCTTGCCACGATGTCAAATCTTGCCGTGTGCAAATGGCCCGTTGTTGGCCGTGTCAACGGCCTGCAGGTGGTGACCGTGTTGACTTGGGTTTCTGCACCCGAGCCACTTTGCCCTCTACATCCTGATCCCAATTCTGAACCTGGAATTCAGGAGTACGATTGAGGGACTGGCAAACTTCAACGATGAAAAAGGGAATTGAATTTTCGTGTCTCTTGAGTTGTGATACGGTGAGGGTTGCGTTGACTTTCAGAAGATATTTACCAGATAATGTCTGGTATTTGGTTCGAACAAAACGTCTTGGGATAACACTAGTCGTTAGTAACAATAATCTTTAGTGACACTTGCCGTTAGTGACACTACCACTTGACCTTTTTAAAAATTGCGCCAAGCGCCGATGGGGCCATTCGGGTGCCTCCGTTCCCAGCATTGAGGCGAAATATGTGATAGGCTGTTTGCATATGGCACCGAGAGAGCCGTTTATAGTCGTTCGTGGAAGACCTGTTCACTCATCACAAGATGGCTGTTATTTTTTAAAATACATTACAGGGATATCGTTTTATTCAGAAAACCAGCTTTGATATAATAGGCGTGTCGTGCGCCGATCGAGGCAGTCCAGGGCGTACCACTCGGAGCTGTAGGCATCGACGAGTTGCTACTTCAGATGCAGCATTCGAGATCATGCAAATCTCTAGGGCCTCGTAATGTTGAGAGCATTCATATATGCATGCACTGCTGTGGCCATGGGCATTAAACCCAATCCCAGCCTTGCGATGTTGGGTCCAGTAAAATGGGCCTGAGCTTCCGCCAGCCATTCCATCTCAAAACTAACACTGCAACCAGCAAGTATATCCGGCCAGCTGGTGGGGACCGCCCGACCGAATCGTCAATGACTAGGTTGAACCTGATTCTGCGCCCTGGGAGGAGCTATTGCGCAATGAAACAACAAAGGCACGCGTGCCATCATAACTTTTAATGGGCTGCCGTGTTACATACCACTGTCTATTAAAAAAGTTTTAGTTGGCATCTCATCCGTGCATCTCGTTTTTTTCATATCGGCATCGAGTTCTCTCCCGGGAAGCCCGCAGTGCACACGAGCAACCAGTGCGCACGAGAGAGATCCTTTCCGCGTGACCGCCTGCCCGCCCTCCTTCTGCGTATGTGTTGTCATATGGCAGATTCGACTGATGTATGGATCCGCGTCTCGGGAGATCCTCGGCGTACCGGCTGCCAATGGACCATAATTAGCGCTGGGTCATTATTAGTTCCCCGTCTGGATCATAATTAGGTCCGGATTTTACGCCCAACTGTTTTTCGGTTCATCTCGTGCGTGTATTATGGTGTTGTTCCCCCAGTTCGCTGTCTTCGCAGTTGCGCTGTGATTAAGGCGGCACCCTCACGGGTATTCCAAGTGCACGACGGTAACACCGACTCCGCCCCTGGTATCTCGGGATCCGATGGTCGGATTGGAAACATGCCGATACCCATCGGAGTCCCGCTCAATCACAGCTGGAACGCCCCTGGTATCTCGGGATCCGATGGTCGGATTGGAAACATGCCGATACCCATCGGAGTCCCGCTCAATCACAGCTAGGAACGCCCCTGGTATCTCGGGATCCGATGGTCGGATTGGAAACATGCCGATACCCATCGGAGTCCCGCTCAATCACAGCTGGAACGCCCCTGGTATCTCGGGATCCGATGGTCGGATTGGAAACATGCCGATACCCATCGGAGTCCCGCTCAATCACAGCTAGGAACGCCCCTGGTATCTCGGGATCCGATGGTCGGATTGGAAACATGCCGATACCCATCGGAGTCCCGCTCAATCACAGCTAAGAACGCCCCTGGTATCTCGGGATCCGATGGTCGGATTGGAAACATGCCGATATCCATCGGAACCCCGCTCAGTTACAGCAAGGAACGCCCCTGGTATCTCGCGATTCGATGGTCGGATTAGAATCATGCCGATACCCACCGGAGTCCCGCTCAATTACAGCTAGGAACGCCCCTGGTATCTTGGGATCTGATGGTCGGATTATAAACATTCCGATACTCATCGGAGTCCCGCTCAATCACAGCTAGGAACGCCCCTGGTATCTCGGGATCCGATGGTCGGATTAGAAACATGCCGATACCCATCGGAGTCCCGCTCATTCACAGCAAGGAACGCCCCTGGTATCTCGGGGTCTGATGGTCGAATTAGAAACATTCCGACACTTATGGGAGTCCCGCTCATTCACAGCAAGGAACGCCCCTGGTATCTCGGGGTCTGATGGTCGAATTAGAAACATTCCGATACTCATGGGAGCCCCGCTCAATCACAGCAAGGAACGCCCCTGGTACCTGGTACCTGGCACCTGGTACCTGGTATCACGAAATTCTTCTATCACGAGCGATTTCTGGGCCCCTTACTGCACTTGACATGTTTTGTACCAATTGATAGCCAGCCCCGGGGCAAAAGAGCACTGGAGCGCAAAAGCAAGCGATTCTTCGCTTCAGAATCATCAAATTATTTTAACGATGATCAAAGCCGGGTCAAGTTCAGCTCAGGTCAACAGCAGCTTACCTAAGTGGTTATTATTTTGTGCTGTTTTTCTGGTTCACGCAACATATGGAGATCGATGCTTCAAGATACGTGGGTTACACTGAGTTGTTCATCACAAACGGACATAAAAAATAATTTGAGTTCAAGGTTTATATTTTGACAAACATGACTTCCGATGACGCCTGGTGCGACCTCGTATGGCGTGACTGGCCCAGACTGGCAGAGAGCCAAGCCGGTCGATTCAATTCGTCACAGCAATTCAAAGTACGAAAGACAACTGCGAATTTCTGCTCGATGGTCCGTCCCGCTAGCTCAGTTGGCTAGAGCGCCTGTCTTCGGATCCACCCGCGATTGGTAGGTTTCAGTGGCTTTAAGTGTCTGGCATTTGCCCCTGACTGGGATGACCCGCAGCCGAACACAGAGGTCGCACTAACGGTCTGGTGACGTCTGACAGGTGCGCAGGGCAGGGCGTGCCTAGCATTGCGGCACGTTGAGCTTTTGCCACAAACTGTCTGTCGTTAACCCAGAAGTTCGTAATCGGATGGCGGGATCAGGTTTTGCGAAACAAGCTCTGCTCAGCGTGAGCTTCGCAATCGGATGGCGGGATCAGAGTTTGCGAAACAAGCGCTTCTCAGCGTGAGCTTCGCAATCGGATGGTGGAATCAGGGCTTGCGAAACAAGTGCTGCTCAGCGTGAGCTCTGATTCCAGAAATCATCCAACCAACTTACTGTGCAGGCCTCCTCTGATGCCGTCGAAACGCAGTGACCTGACCCAATGTCGAATTTGTTTTTCCTTCGGAATGGTGTGCACAATTTTCCCATGTCTCTGTGGGCGAAGATTCATAGACGCAGGAGGTATTATGTGCATCAGCATAGCAGTCTGTCTCTTTGTTTTAGATGGTGACGTTTTTTGGATGAAAAATGTCAGAGCAAGAGCCCGATAAGTGTGTACTGGTAATTGGGAAATCGGGAAATCGTGGTGGCCGGTAACATTATAATGGAATAATTGCTACCAGTAATTTTGCAACGAATCTCCTACACTCACGTAATACGCGTTTGTGGCAATTTTCGTGAGCCATTACTGCCGATTGAAAGTGTATCAGTGCGTACCGTGTTTTTTATTAATGTGGTCTGCACCGAATGTTGAATTAATAAACACCTGGATTCGATCCAACCACCTCGAAACGGTGCTGCACAAGCAGGAACAGTGAACGCCGAAGAGACATCAAATAAACCGTGAACACAAAAAATACCCACTTAACGGCAAACAGGCTGGAAACCAACCAGGCGCACTTCCCTCATGAACTCGAATTTCGATGTCGCCGATGAATTCGACGTTGTGCTACATCGCGGTCCTTCACCTGCCGGCACTCTGCCATGACCCGTGTCCGGTGTTGCGGCGTCAGGGCGTGGCCGTGGGCGGGGCCGCCGCCAGCTGCAGCGAGCCGCTGTCCGGCAGATTCTGCGCGACTTTCCGGAGGAGCTGCGCGGGGACGTCTCGATGCACATCCACCGGGAGCTGCTGCAGCTGCCCATCTTCGCGACGGCCTCCACCGGCTGCCAGAAGCTGCTCTCGCTGCACGTCAAGGACAGCTTCTGCGCGCCCGGCGAGTACCTGGTGCACTGTGGCGACGCCCTCCACTACATCTACTACCTCTGCAACGGCAGCATGGAAGTCGTGCAGACCGACATGGTGGTCGCTATTCTAGGTAAGTGAGGAGGATGTTTTCTTCATAGCAAAAGCGTTCCCTGTTTCCCATGTTCGAATATGTCCGGCGTCTTTGTTGCTTTGTTCTTGAAAGTGCCAGATGGCAGGCTGGTCCCATTTATCGGCTGTAGTCTTTGTACATATTTCAGGGGGCCTTCTTTGGTCCAGATTTTCAGCAGCCATGTCCAAAGTTTCGAGAACGGACCCTGCCCTGGCTCGTCACGTTTCACTATGCTCTTATTTGGCAAGCTTAAGTGTTGTCTGTGTGGCCTAAATGATAACGGATAAAGTTGCAAGCTGTGGAAAGGACAGGCTCAGCCCGTGATGGTCGACGCAAAACATTGGAATATTTGCGGGCGGTATGAGCCTCAGCAATCAGCCCTACGCTGCCCTGGACCTCGCAGCTGACCTCTATAGCTTGTACACAACATCCAGTTCGTTCCGCACGCGTGCGCAGCTTTCGTCAAGAATGCAGCCCATGGCGAAAGTAATATTAGTTTAAGCCTGCCCGCCGCAGCTGTCCAGCATCTGGCCGTGTGTGTTCTCAGCCAACAGGCCTGCATTGTCAGCTGCGGTGCTTACCGGCAGCTTGCAGCGCCAGCCGGTGCTAGCGAGCCCTGGGGACAGTGGCGACCCGGGAACACGTTTCTCCACTCTGCCTCCACTCACCCAGCGCGCGCGCACCCAACTCCGGCCGCTAACCGACGCCCCCCCCCCCCCCCCTCCCCCTCCCGGGCGTGCGGGCGGAGAAGGCCCAGCTGGGCTCGGTGCAGGTCCATCGATTGACCATCTATCGTTGGCTACCCATGGTGCGCGGCATCAGCATTTTGTTTGTCTATAGGAGGATGTATATAAAGAGGAGAAAGTGTGAGAGGGGAAAAGAGATGGGGGGGGGGGGGGGCAGAAAGAGGAGCAAAAGAGGGCATTGCCGCTTCTACAGCTGTGTCACATTTATGTGGCATGTGCCCGGATAACAAATGGGGCAATATCACATTCTTTTTCCCAAACCAGTCCATGGATCTTAGAGAGCATGCTACTTCTCCCGCCTGGGAGCGCAAGGCATGTGGTCCGTCACCCTGGGTTGTTCAAGATGCGTGCCTGGATGCCCTGGGTGTAAGACAGGAGTCTTAATCTCAGCAAATTTAATGATCAAATCTGCCAAGCTTAGTCAACCTGTATCAAACTTATGCTGCCTCAATCCCTTGCCCACAAGTTCGAAATGTCTATGAGTGGTCTGACGCGCAGCTGGGCTGTGGCAGCTCCAACACCAGCCCATGCCCATGCATATTAAGTCATGCGTACAGAATGAGCAACAAAGATGACAGTATAGGTCATATAACAACAAAGGCAACAACATGTTGCAGTTGAGAAAGCGCAGTTTAGCAAAGTAAAGTGAGAGGGGTTAAGTAGGGATAGGAGGTTAAACTAACCTCGAAATGCAAAAAACGATGGCCCTTTTCGCTCAAAGTGTGAGGGTGGCTACGGCCTCGATCTTACAGAGGTAACTGCACCCTAACCAGCAATCTATGTCTGAGGCTTAACGTTAAAAAGTGTGTATTTGACTCACTGGTTTCGTACATAACTGCAGATATTGCGCACGCGATTATTTGAGAAAAAAAGTATGTGCTCGTGTCGAGTAGCTTGTTCGCAGCATGCTAAATGTTCCAGGTCCTTCCATGCACGATACCTTGCATAGCTTACAGTTTAAAAACACTTTTTCCACAGGTTTGTTACGATTGACCAGCGTCGAACAACGTACAACGCCTAATTGGTGTGGGGGCTGGCTTCCATGCGCGCGTGTGCTGAGCCCCATCCCACCCTTTCTTAGAGCATTGTTGGCGATCAAAGATGGCGTGAATAGCCTCCGCCAACAGCATCTGTGACAATGAGAGGCGTAGATCATGAAAGACCATGTCTTGCGCACCCGCGTGATGACGTGAGTCCAGACCGGCCCAGTAAAACAATGTGATTCGTTTGCTTGCGCAAGTTCAAGTTCATGTATGTAGCTGCTCACTTGCCAACTTACCCCAGCTTTATTCACTGCTTGGCTTGGATTACATAACAATGAGGCATATAATCAGGCTGAGCATAAGTTACACACGGCCCATTTTAAACCAGACGTCAATTTGTCTTCATATAGCCGCCATTCATAATCTTGTAATCAAACAGCGGGGCGTGATGTTCGTCGTTTTTCAACCCATGGCTTCTTGTCCATGATATCAGACTGATCCTCACCTTTGGAAAATTCCGTGTCTTCCCAAATATAAGCCCGAAGACGCGCTGAGAGGTAATACGAGCCTGACTGGAGTTAAAGATGTGAATCGCTCATGGCATACACTGAGACAGTGACGCTCGCCAGTGCGATGTTCGAGATCAGAACTGGTTAGTTACACGGAAATTCATTCGAGACCTTCATACAACGTTTACGAAGTCAAATGTTGGCATTTGTTTCGCAGCAATCTTGGAACTTTGAGACGCTCAGGGGACCCATTGCAATGCATGCGATTCAGATTGTGCTTGCCGGCTTGTTCAGGCATCACGTACGAGTTAGGGTAGAACCGGGGTCGGACGGAAACTCGGACCGGGGCTCGAGAAGTCGAATTTACACCTCACACCTAAACTCTTACCACTCACTCTTACACCTAGACTCTCCCCACTTACTCTTACATCCAAACGCGCACCAGGACTCGGACGTTTTCTTTAAAATGGACGCCACGATATGGTCGCGCACTGTTTTATTAAGCTCCAGGGACTGCGGAGGTCACGTTATCTTTCAGAAACTATGGTTCAATCAGGGTTTGAACCCGAGCCGTACACATGTGATCCGAAGGCTCTAAACACTAGGCCATGGCTTCCCCTGGGACTCAGACGGTTATCGCTAGAGTATTAATGGGAATCTTTGGTATGGCATAGCTTGTAAGCAAAAGACGATATATGAAAATGGAACGACATGGGTATCGAATAGATCAATGTTGTGATTGGTAGTGTAGTGGTTAACGCGTCGGCGTTAACTACTACACCTCTGGGAAATCAGAGGTGCGGGTTCTATTCCCCGAGGCACCCGTCCTTTCCGCCGAGGCGAGAGGCAGGCGACGCCATACAGCGTCAGCAGCTGAGTGCGTCGTAAAGCCCCAATGATGGAAGGGGAATGTTCGTATGTGACAAAGACCGCATGGTTAGAGTTTGCATAGCCAAATATCGAGTGTGACAAAATCATGCAGGATAAAATCTTCCCGGGATGAAGCTTGTAAGGGACGGTAAAGGATGACATATAATGAGGACCATGTGCTAAAACACCATACTTGATAGGGACCGCATGGGTATGTAAGTGCGTACGTATAACGTCGTGGAGTATTCCACCGCTGCAGTGGCCATTAATTCCCGACGCAAACGTGAGATAAAACATCCTATCATCATTTATTGCACGTTCGCTTTTGCTTGTCATGCAGTACACGTAAACGCAGCACGCAGACTTTCCACACAATTCCGGCAACGGCCTAGTCCGACGGCCGGTCTAGCGTATGGCGCTTAATGGCTCGCGGGATAGGTCGTGCGGAAAAGTTCGCACGCGACCAAGATCCCGTGGGATAAAGGTTGTATGGCCGACTTCGTCTCCTTGGCACGACTTCGCACGACAGCGCAGCCTGTAGCTGGCGCGGCACCGGCGAACGAGGCCGCTCGCCCTCCATCGGACGACCGGAACTGAACCGCTGCCTGGCCGCACACCATCGTCGGCCAGAAATGCTGTTGGAGCCTGCACACGTGCTGCGGAATACAGCCGCGTTCGATTTTGTCCTTGATGCCTCCGCTCGGAAAGCATCCATCCAGTGCGTGGCGGAAGCTTGCGAGAAATTTTGGGATGTGAGCGGGTTTTGAAAGACCAGTTTAGGTTACATAAAAGTTTTCGTTGACTAAAAATTTTATTTGATTGCCGCGGCCGGATGCCACATTTTACGCGCAATGTCCATAAATGCGGCTCGATAGCGGTTCGTAGCCCATAATTATGTTTTATGGTGCGCAGCTTAACAAAAACAATTCCAAGATTCTTTTAACACTTAAGCTACTGGATGTAGCGTTGAACGGGGTGTTCAAGTGCTTCCAACTGAAAATGCAACCAATACTCAGCTCTTTTTTTCGCGAAAGTTTCTTAGTTCCGTTCACCTACTCAGTTTATCGCTTCTTACCTCTGATCCTATGATAACTTTGCTATGGACCTCTTTCATATGCTACCCGCTTGCTGATGTAAGTGATCATTTGCCGACGCTATCTTTCACCACATAAATACATTTATCACTCCTGATCTTTCCCCAGTGCGACCTTCAGTGTGTGTTTCTTACATTCGTAATTTTCCAACGATCCTTTGCACGGCGAGCATTGCTCTGCCGTCACTTCCCTCGCAATATTTTCCTTGCGATCTCTTGCACATATTTTCCCTACCATCTGCCGCAATGCCACACTTATTCGTGACAACCTTTTTTTGACGGTCCTTTTTGCCTATGTTTTGCTTACGATGTTACCCAATATTCCTTGGGCACGATCCTCTGTCGCACAAGCTTTTTCTCCAAAACAAGGTTTTTCTCGACGTATCTTCCTCACATTCTTTTCCCATCTGATCCGATTCTTTGACTGTTAGTTATGCTGCCATCTAATATCCTGGCTGGCAAACGGCTCGGACTATGAGCACCTCATAGCCTTTTTGGCACTCGAGTCAAAGGGGCTGGTTTATACACATATTAATGATTCAGGATTCAGACGCGGACTAGAATGTTTCTCAAACCTGTAACTCAGTCTAAACTTTGAACTTCATGTACGTTTCAACTATAGATAATGGCCCCTTTTTAACAGGAAAAACGTTGCGTAAAAGGAAGCCTGGTGTACAAGAGCTAGATTTCCCACGGTCTTCGTGCAGACGTCATTTGGCGCCTGTGTTTCTCTTCCCGGTTCCGTGATGGCCCCCATCCCACGCCGGTGATTGGTGCCGCCCCGAGCGGCGCCGACCGATGGGTCGG